TTTTTCATGTTTTCTTATAGGAACATGATCTAGAAATGGTGGATTTTTAGAGCCATTCCCAGCCTGTCCAGAGGGTATCATCCCGTTCAAAAAAATGACATGTGGCCCCAATTCTTTCTGGACAAATCCCCATGTTGTTGGTTACCCTCTGGTAAACGTTTACATAACGAACTGGAAAATCACCATGCTATTTTCATGGGTATATCAACTATAAATGCTCATTTTCCATTGCTTTTTGTATGTTTACCAGAGGGTGAATCCATCAATATCCTAGTATTATCCTATCATTATCCCAGCAAATCATCCCTATAAAACCATATAATATTAAACCATATTAAACCATAGTAAACCATAATAATTCCATTAATATCCCCAAATATCCCATTAATATCCCCATGTTCTTAATGTCCATGAGTTACATCCCATAATTTCACCAAATCGTGGTTGGTCAGTGAATCTTCTTGGCCTATATCGCCATTGACAAAGCCATAGACATTGATCTATGGATTGTCATTTATACATCTCTCGGAAATCATATGATATATATATAATTATAAATGTATATATATATATAATGTATATATATATACAGTAATCATCATTTTTTACATCACATAACATTTATCGTATGTTTGAGGCATTTTTGCCACAGACTTCCCCTCCTGCGACCCGATGGACATCACCGAGCGAATGGAGCGACGTACCACCTGCAGGCGACGGAAAAAGACGCGACGCGACGGACGTTGTGGGAACGTCAGCTGGGATGGGTCAAAAGCCCACCCAAAGGAAGCCCTTAAATGGATCAACATAGCTGGGATATGCTGGGATGTTCATGCCACTAAAATCCAGATCATCATGAAATGATGAATGAATGTTTGTGAATCTACTGGATGGTGTTTGAAAAACACTGGATGATTTTTCTGGTGAAAATCGCTTCTCCAGATGAAAATCGGTGATGTTTTTAACCATGAAAACCATCCATTAATCATCCACCATCGACGGGGGGAATCACCCACCATCGACCATCGACCATCGACCATCGGGTACCATCCAGGTTCCAGGAGCCGACCCTGGTAGCCCTGGAGATCATTTTGGGAAGCCATAAAGCTACCAGTTGGGGATGCTTGGAATGACGCATTTATGGGGTGATTTTTTGGGGGGTTTACTAGTGGCTTCACCACATCCCAATCCAGTCATATGATGGTTTTTTTGGATGGTTAATATATGGTTTTCATGGATGATTAATGGATTTATACATGGATTATGGGATAATGATGGGATAATACTGGATATTGATGGATATACCCTCTGGCAATTTGTTACATAGCTATTGAAAATACCAGATTCATAGTTGATTTACCTATTCAAAATGGTGATGTTCTATAGCTATGCAAACGTTTACCAGGGGGTACAACTAAAACTGCTCGGGATTTATATATATGGCAAGTGTTTTGTACCCTCTGGTGATTTTCTAACTGGAAAATCCCAACGGTTTGGAATCTGGGAGAATCCCAACGGAAAATGAGTGAATTGAGAAATTGCCAAGTGAGTTGTGTGTTTTTTTTTCTGATGTAGTAGGGTGTTATCATTTTATAGGTACCTATGCGAGGCTTACATTTCGCGTACGCGCGCACAATTTCAGCCTACGCGGAAGCTTGGGTGGGGATAGGTTGCCTACGCAGGCCTACGCGCGTGAGGTTTTATGCACTTTTTAGCTAAATATGCCTACGTGCCCACAGTCTCAGCAACATTTTCGTATGATTGCGCACCCTTTTACAAAGCTGTTCATGATCCAATGATCGCATTAAAAACAATGAGGAGGAAGAGGGCCATGTGCTTATTGATTGGTTGTTACATGGTGAGAAGACATTAGGCAACTACCTATTTCGCCAAAAATGCATCGAGCACGTTGAGCGCACATTTTTTTCCAGTCCGCAGATGACTCAAACGAAGAGGAGGAAGAGGAACTTGAAGAAGAAGAAGAAGAAGGAGAAGTAAAAGAAGAAAAAATGATTCCGCAGGTGTAAGACGCTGGTTCTGCCGTCGCTTCTTGGCAGCACGGAACAACATATAATGTTATACGTTGCAGGAGCATGTTTGGGGGGCATCCCTGGTCATGAGAGTTTTCGCCTACGCGTTGCCTACTTTTCGCCTACGCGGTGCCTACGCGGGGGAGCTCCTTTATTTTCGGATTTTGGCCATGCAAACTTCGAGGCTTGAGACTCTGCAGAAAAGGGAACGGAATAGTTCCATTAGCTTTTGTTTCTCAGCAAAACAGTTGCTATCTTCTAATTACTTGTGCTTTTTGGACAACGGAAATTTCACATGCCGCATCGAGCTACACTCATTAGACCCTTCAATCTTGACCCACAGGCTGCAAAATTCGTCGAATCCGCGGTCGCCTATGCGGCGTCTGCCGCAAAATGAAGCAAAATATGCCTACGCCAGCCTACGCACCCCAGCAAACTGCCTACATCCAACCATGTGCAGGTCAACTTTCATATAAATCTTTACTTGTAAAAAAGAACTCTGCTCAAGTGAAATTACTGGTGGGTCATGATTAACTTGGATGACTTGAATGACTTGGATGCATGGCTCTTGCTTCGTTACAACCCACTTCTGGATTGATTCTATCACCATCAAAATCCCGTCTGTTTTAGCATTTTGCGAGCTTTCAATCTTGAGTTGGGTAGTATATACATATACATATACATATAAATATAAACATTATATATAAGCAATTAGCTGCATCAGGATCGGAAAAAATCAAGGCCAATTAATTGACTACCCCTTACCACTTTCCCCTGGGTTTTTTTCTCCACCCACGGGATCACCCAAAATTGGGACCTCCATTGCGAATTCTCGATCCAACAGCTCCTCCAAAAAGGTGCTATGACGAAAAAAAAAAAACGACCCTCCGCGAGTCAAACGTGGCGCGTGGGGAAATCCCCTCTAAATGGCGGTGTTTCATGGAAAAACCATCTACAAAATGGATCAATGGCCATTTCAGGAACCTAAATTGGAGGTACCAATCCCATATATAAGGCGTATGTAAGGAATATCCCCACAATTCATGTGGCCCAAAATATGGTACGGTACGTTTACGTAGCTCCATCATTTTTGGATCCTGAAGATCTCCCATTGAATGGATGGATTTTCCAGCCAAAGATGGGGAGGAGAAGTATATGACAATGGGATAGTAGAGATCAACCCAAGAAAAAACAACGATAGCAACCAAAAAGAAAGTGCATATGTCTCATATCACGAACATACTAAGATGCAAGTACTGTAGCAAAAAGTAAGAGACAAGCAAGTAGAACCGGAGATGCAACCACTGAAACTGCTGCATTCACCAATTCACCACCATGAAAATGGTGGTTTTAATGGTTTAGCCACCAAAAATAGAGGTTTGAACACATCAGGTAACCGTCTTTCCAGGCAGAACAAGCCGCTCCTTCTGTGGCAAAAAACATGCACGGATGAAACGGAAACTGAACCAAGTGCAGCGGTAGATGCAGAAATTTGTGAATGGTCTCCATAGTCTTGTCTGGTTGGTGGTTTCAACCCCTCTGAAAAATATATGAAGTCAATTGAGATGATGACATTCCCAATATGATGGGAAAGTCACAAAAAAATCCATGGTTCCAAACCACCAGTTGTGTCACTTGGAGGAAAAACAGCACCCAACATCTTATCATCAAAATGAAACATCAAAAGTAGGCTTCCCCGCCCGGTAAAGCTTTGGTGATCACTGCAGCAATGACCCGGGGCATTCACATGGCACAGACTAGATGGCATATGATGGCATATGGCTTTGACGAAAAATGATGGTACCCAGAAATCCGGTTGATCATGGGTTTATGTAATGTCAACCCCGGATTAACAAACCATGGTTTATTAATTAGGGGGGTACTCCTCCAAATAGTCACAATATGGTACATAAATGGTACCCTCCCAATTAAACAATCTAGGGGTTTATTAATCCAGGGTTGACATTATACATGTTTTTCATTTCAATGTTGGTGTAAAATTGTCCATGTTTGGACAAACCCTACACAGTCATCAACCAGCGGTGAAGCTTTCCCCGGCATCTGGCTGTGGACCTGAAAACTGGGGACCCCATTTTTAAAAAAAAGACTGGTTGGTGGTATACCTACCCCCTGAAAAATATGAATCAGTTGGGACGGATGATGAAATTCCCAATATATGGAAAGTCATAATTCATGTTCCAAACCACCAACCAGTAATTCCATTATTAATTCCATTATTAATCCCATTATTAATCCCATCATTAACCATCATTAACCAACATTAACCATCATGACTGATTGGAAGTCAAGATAAACCGATGGAATCCAATGGATCTATGAAATATAGAGGTACAGTATTCCATTTTGACGAAGCTCAAACGGAAAGCAGCTGTTCTCTTTGGAAACGCCGTTCCCAGAATGAAGAGAATAGAAGATAAACCTCGGATGAAAACCTAGCCAGTCTTGGGTTTCATGTTTCAAAACAAAACTAAACCTCTGGTAAACTAACATAGCTATGGAAAATCACAATCTTTAAGTTCGGTAAATCAACGATTTCAATGTGCAATTTTCACTAGAAAACGATTAGTCATTATCAGAGGGTCGCAAACAATCCACCAACCCCAAACAAGCTTCACCCGGTGTACCGAGCCATATCTTTGACATCCTCACCTTTTTGATCTCTCAACTGAGACGATCTTTGAACTCAACACTCGGGTTGGGGTCAAAAAAAAATAGACCTCCTAGTCCCACAGATGCTGGTGAAAAATGTGCGAAAAATCTTCAACGTTTTAACCATCCCTTTTTTTTAGGTGCATCGCTGCATCCCCATTTTTCGCTCAAAAACATCTTCTGTTCAAATCATTTATATCCCATGATTTTTTTCTAAACTTTAGATATGAATTTTGGGATATAAAATTATGGGATTTTGGGATTTGGGGATACAAAAGATGTGATTCTTTAGATAGATCTCCGCATTTTGGTCCAAATTTTGACCCATCCCCGAGCTACTACGGTCCTACTGCACCTTTGGCAGTGCCTCACTGGCCTCGCGCTCCGTCGCTGGTCGTGGCGGTCCCGTTTCGGCCGTTCCGGCCGTGCCGGTCTTGTCGAAGTAGGACAGAACCAGCAGCACCTGTGAGGCGTTCGCGCCCATGGATTCTTTCACCCAAAAAAAAGATGTAAGAACCCCTAGAAAAAGCCATTTAAATATGTAAGATTATGTAAGTGTCCTAATGAATCCAACATCAGAACCATATATGGTACCAAAAATAATGTCCTAATTTGTTGAAAACTGCCCAACTATTGGGGATAAAATCTCCAACGGCTACTTGAAAGTGATGTTCAAATTCCCCAAACAGAACATGTACCAAGCCCTGTGAAATACGGGGGTCCTGCAATGCTTCCGCTTTGCAAAGTGGGATCCGAAACACATATCAATAGTCCTGAATCGGTAACTTGATATTCTTTTGATGTAACTAAATTGATATGAATGGGATATATAACCAAAAGTTTGGAGTTTGTCTTGAAATGGGGATGGGAACCCAAAACTGCAGATAACCATTGGATTCGGGGGTCAAAGAACCCATGCCATGTGTCATATGCTTGATATATTTTGATTGGGGCTCACAAACTTATTTGCATGTGAAATCATACTTGTTGGGCCCCATCAACAGCATAAATAAACAAGGCCAAGACAAGGAATTTGGGAATCATATTTAGGAATAATATCAAGAAACATTTGGGTGGGCCTTCGCACTCAGGAACTGGATTGGAGCCATATTCTTTCACTTGGTAGTTTGAACCATCTCATCAATACCCTCCGGTAAACATATAAAAAACTATTGAACATGGCCCATTGAAATCGTTGATTTACCCATGATTTCATAGCATGGTGACTTTAACCATAGTTTTTTGTTAACGTTTACCAGTAAACAAGGCTATTTTCGTGGAATGCTTCCAGATTTTTAGCGTTTAGCAACCTCCGGAGGATTTCTCTCGCCGGCCTCTTGAAATTCCGGACGTGAAGAATGCATTTGCCTCGGTCCCCCAGGTCCCCCATCTCCATAAAGGGTGATCCTGTCACAGCTCTGGCCGCCACCATGACCACTACCCGGCCTGGTAAACGTTAACAAAAAACTATAGAAAATCACCATTTTGAATAGGTAAATCAACTATAAATCAACTATTTCTATGGGGCCTTCTGGGTGTGTAATAAAAAAAAAATCCGCCAGTTGCTTCCAAAGCCATGTCAAATTCGGGAGATCTCATGATATCTCTGGCCTCTGGCCGCAGACCCCCTGGGATCAAATCTCCGCTGATGTTCCCCCAAGGTCGGATGTACATGGATGACTTCCGACGAAACGAACACAACTACGAACTATTAAGAAGAAACACTATAGTTATAAGTACCATAAACCATAGTTATTGGAGTTATGTTCACCAACTTAGCTATCTTGGGGGCCCCACATTGTATAGTCCACTTTACTTAGAACCATTTCATTGATTTGTGATATTAGTCGCCTGTGCATCATACAACTATCATTTAACAATCAGACAACGGCTCCATGGCCACTGTCTGAGAAGGTACAAAAAAGATCAAAAAAACCTCCAAATGATAGTAAATTATACCCCAAACATCCCCAAACATCCCCAAACATCCCCAAACATCCCCAAACATCCCCAAACATCCCCTTCCTTTCAGAAGGTACGGCTGGGTCCATCGGGAAGACAACCGAACAACAACCGAGGCACGCCACATCCGTGGCCGTCCAACGCCCCCGCAGCCCCGTGCGCGCTGCACGCTGCAGGTCGGCGCGCTTCTGGAGCAGCCTCTGCCAGCGAGACGTGGAGGTTTCACAAGTCATGTGGATCATGGGAATCAATGGTGATTTTACTGGTAATTCATAGTGATTTAATGGGATTTCATGGGATTTCATGGGATTCAAGAGTGATGAATTTCCATGGGCATCCAAAAAATAGTTGTAATCAATAGGAAAACCCCATGGTTTTTGGAGTACCCCATATTTTAGGAAACTTCCAGATGAGACAAAATCCAATAGGCAAATGGGATAGGTCATTTTTTTTCAGACTCGGAGGGGCCACAGATTGACTTGTCAATTTTTAGTATGAAAGTATGAAGCATCAATTTTCTGGGCCCGACCCCATTTTGACCCATACCCAAATGGTTTTTGTTCTTTTCGGGTATAACCCCGATCTTAGTGATAGAAAAAAACCTTAATCAATGATGGTTAACCGATGGTTCAGCCAACATTTCACTCAAGTTCATTGGGCATTATATTCACATACAGTACCCTCTGGTAAACTAACATAACTATGGAAAATCACAATTTTTAATGGGAAAATCCACTATCAATGGGCAATTTTCAATAGCTTTTTGTATGTTTACCAGAGGGTAACTGGATCTTGCATCCGAACTAACCCAAGTCCCAATTCAAGCCCCTTTAAAATTCATCAAAATCCTACACATCGTGGCTAACCCATGGTTCACTCATCCAATTGGCATTTTTACAAACCCACAACAACTGGGGGGGTCCTAAACTTGGGGATACCCAAGTCACCATGGTTGTTTCAAGACATGACTTCCTTGGATGTGGGGGTATCCAAGACTTGGGACCTGGGAAACCTGCAACTAGGCCATGAAAAAATAGCGTCCCATCGAAGTAAAGAAAAGTGGCGTGTTTTTAACGCCCAATCATGGCCAATCAGCCATCGAAACCTCCATATGTCCCATTCAATCACCATTATTTAGATAGATCTTATCCATTTACCATCTTGTTATTTAACATAGCCATGGAAAATCACCATGCTATTAATAGGTAAACGATCTATAAATGGGCTATTTTCCATGGCTATGTTAGTCATAACCAGAGGGTAATTCCATTTCTCATGAATCTATGTTGCCAAAAAATGCTGGTTACATCTCCGCGAAATCACCCATCAACCAGATTTAGACGTGTAAATCCCCAGCTACAAACCTCCAGTTGCCCAATCACCAGTTACATTCTCCAACTCCCCGGGCTAACCATTAAATAACCCATTGAATCACCATAAAGTCAGCATTTTAGATAGATCTTAATCAACCTGTATCATTCATCACCCATGAAACATCCAAAAAAACACCATGAAATGTTCATGGACATATCTTCATTTCGTATGAAAACCCAAAATGTTCATGGACATATCTGACATATCTTCATGAAACATATTCACCATTTACTAATTGGTGGTTTCAACCCCCTGAAAAATATGAGTTCGTCAGATTGGATCATCATCCCCAATCTGGTTGGGGAAAATAAAAGTGTTCCAAACCACCAACCAGTAATCCCATTATTAATCCCATTATTAATCCCATTATTAATCCCATTATTAACCATGTACCATCTTCCCCATTAAACAATCATGAAATCACCATCAAATCACCATCAAATCACCATCAAATCACCATCAAATCACCTGGGTTTGTCTGAAAATAGGCTATAGTCCCAATGAAATAGCCATTTATTTTTGGGATAATGATCAGCAAAACCATTGGGTTTAGGGGTTTTCTCTATTTTCAGACACACCCACCTGACATTTACCATCTTCCACCTCCCCAAAGCTTCGCCTCTGGCAGACGGCCGCATGGCCTCCCTCCGCCGCCAGCAGCAGCGCGGGACCCACGGAGCTCTCCGCGCCGTCGTCCAGGTCCAGGCCCGGCAGCGCCAGGGTGCCCTGACGAAGCGAAAAAGGGGACGACCCGAAAACAGCGCATCGGTGGGGTGTGGGTACTTGGTGGGATTTTAATGGGTTTTAATAGGTTTTAATGGTGATTGAATGGTATTTTAGATGGATTTTAGATGAATTTTGACCAATGTACTGGATGTATTTGCAGTACTTAATGATAGTACTGCCAGGTTAATGGAGTTGATGGATTTTGAAGTTTCATGAAGTTTAATTAATTTTGACTGGAACTGCAATTTCCAAGTCAGAAACCACTTGAAAAACTATCACCAGTGATCTATGTTTTTTCACCATATGAACTAACCGACTGAAAAAGACTCAGTTACCCTCTGGTGATCTAAGATTGCCATTGAACATGGACATGGAACTAAAAGGTAAATCATCTAGAAATTGATGAAAACCAACTGAAATTAAGACTAGTTACATGGGTCACATGTTTCACCATATGATATATCATGATATATCCCAATTACATGAGAAATGCGGCCGTGTGAATCAATGATGATCCATGGTTGGCTTGACAGATCGGCGCCAAATTGGGTGTCTCCATGTGGTGTTCGAAAAATGGAAATCGCTGAAATCACCCAGCTGGTGATGTTCCGTGGTTACCCTCTGGTTATTTGTTACATAGCCATGGTATAGATGGCCCTAATCGAAATAGATGGTTTACCTATTACAGTAAAAATGGTGATTTTCCATGGCTATGTTAAATAACCAGATGGTATATGGTGTTAGATGGAGAATCAACGGTATACCATCGGAATGAATCTGTCAAACGGGATACGACATGGATAAAGCACGAAATTTCGCGGGTCCAAACACTTCGGGTGCCCCACGATGACCAGGATGACCTTGGTGGGCGACGCGTCTCCGGATTCCGGGATCCCACCAATGTCACAGAGTTTTTGCAGTTTTCGATGAACCAAATGGGGAAGTTCTACATCTTTTTGTCAGAAATGGACAGTTGTTGAAAATTAAAACATCATGCTGCTGCTAAGATGTGTTCTAGCTTCTGACTCCAGCCTTTTTGAATGGTGGACACAGCAGCACTGCGGAAAAGTCTCTTGAAATATCTGCCAGCCAAATATTCTGCACGGCTCGGCTCTGTCAGAAGCTCATTGTTCCATTTTCTAAATGTCTTCAATGTCCTTCCTTTCAAGTCCAACATGTTCAACCATCCAAAGATTCTGACAGCGCACATTCGGCTGTTGCACGCTTCACAGTGCAGTTGAGTGGAGCTCACTTTGATTCAGAGCCACTCAAGCGTTGAGAAAAGTGTCCAAGGAGTGCACGTCTCTCACTCTTGGCCGGTAGTTCACCATGCGGCTTTTGCTCCACCCGGCCGAAAGCACATCTCCAACCACATGATGTGCGACCACGCCCGTGAGCCTAAGCCGCACTCCGATGGTCAAAAAGCAAAAAAAAGGATGGGTTGCCACCAAAAAAGAACCGTTGTTTCAGCTGGATAATTAACCAGCCAAGCCACAATTCCTCCGTGAGGAATTTATCTAAGTCCCACATGCTGCCGGGATTAAAGATGTGACCACTGATGTTCAGTCGGAGATGGGGATTCTCTTTGCCCCACTTTGCCAGCAGGGCCGCCCGAGTGCCACCTAAGGAGTGCCCCGTAACCTGGATTTCCGTGATGTCGGGGCGGATGCGAAGCGCCCGCCACAAGTCAGACTTGACTTCGTCCAGAGGTATACTGTCATTGAGATTGAAGAATATCATGGCATTGTGCTTGAAGTCCGGGCATTCTTTGGTCCCTTGGAACGCCACCAGCAAAACGCTGCCTTTGGTGAACATCGCATATTTCGGCCAATTGAACGGATGGAGAAGATTCCATCCATGTTTTCTGGCTTCTGTTTCCCTGTGTTCGCATTCTTCGTACATGACCTTTGACATGTTTGCCATGGTTTTCACTTCGGGTTTGATCTCTTTTGCACTCTCTCCGCGAATCAGCCGAACAGGACCGACAATGAAAGGGATGGCGACTAAGGCTGCAAAGAAGCCTACCGCCCCCCTCAAAGGGTCGACGACAATCTTCTTTACCGATGACGACATGTTCCTACCCAGGAAGAAAGTCGGGAAGCAGGAACACACCGAAGCTGAGCAAAATTGGCCAGGCGGCAAAAGACATGTCCAGGAAATATGTGGTCAAATCCCTTCGCAAACATGGTGAAGTGAATGTACAGTAAACCTAACAATCTACATCATGCACATCATAGACTTCAGGCGAGATCAAGTCAGTGTTTACACATAGTGAACCTTCTTGTCTCGCTAAGACAATCCGACTCCCGCAAATGCTTGGCATCCCGACAGCAGCAGCGTTGAGAGGGCGAAATCGAAGAACAGCACGATGAGGGGAGCAGTGACAAAACCCAGTCATGGCTGCATGCGTCACAACATCATACCCAGGAATCCCTCGAATTTCGTCACGTTTCCTATCAAACAACCAATTTTCAATGGATTGGTTGAAGGGAAAATCTTAACCGGAAACCCATGGGTTTTTACCATCAAATAGAGGGGTTTCCTGTAAATTGTCCCATCATCAAATTCTATGAAATTTGAGTATACAAGAAATAATCCATATCAAGCCAACCTCACATTAATCTCAACCGCACGGAAGCCTCAAGTACCAATTAGAAGCCCACAAAGTCGGAGGACAAAGACTTCGTAGACTGCATCAAAATTGTCTTCACGCCGAAGAGAATTTTACGGTTAGGAAGAAACATCAAAGAGCAATACCCTCTGGTAAACATACAAAGAGCTATTGAAAATGGCCATAGAAATAGTGGATTTACCCATTAAAAATGGTGATGTTCCATAGTTTTTTGTAAACGTTTACCAGAGGGTATATCCATGAATATCCCAGTCTTATCCCATCATTATCCCAGCAAATCATCCCATCATTAAATCCTATTTTAAAAAAAAAACATAGTAAACCCACTAAACCTCCATTTTCCTAGCTGAAATTACCCAAAACGTGAACCGGTGCTGAAACCAACTCATCCACGAGATTCCGATGAACGGCCCGCGGCCCCAAAATTTGCAAATCCTCCTGTTTTTTGTGGGGAAAAGCATAATAAAAATGGTTGGAAAATGATGGAAAATTGTGATTTAATGGGATTTCAATGGTGATTTAATGGGATACCATCTGGTTATTTGTTACATAGCCATGGTATAGATGGCCCATAGAAATAGATGGTTTACCGTTCTTAAAAATGATGATTTTTTTTATAAAAAAAAGTGAAAGCCACCAACCAGTCAAATTGAACCCTTGGAATCCGCTAAGGTACCAATTCGCATGACTCAGCCGATAAGGTACCACTGGGCCCACAAGATAGGTTTAGTATCAAACTATGATACGCTGGAATATATCAAGCCCAGCAAACCTCCCTCGAACAAATCAGTAACCATAATTTATGAATTCTAAATCTCCCTATTTTTCATGAATGAAAAGAAATTGTATCCACATGTTTGATTCATCAAAGTGAACACTGCCTGACAGTCCTGCCTCCAATAAGGTAGTATCTCCATTGACGGCCGCGCGTCGCAGCAGCCATTGCTTAACCCACTTCCTTTGCTTCGCCTTGGCAAAAATTAGGATTCAACCAACCAACAATGGGGATATATAATGGGATGTATATATATATACTGGTTGGTGGTAAACCTACCCCTCTGAAAAATATGAGTTCGTCAGTTGGGGTTACTATTCCCAATACATGGAAAAATAAAAAATGTTCCAGACCACCAACCAGTATACTATAGACTATTATAACCAGTATATTATAGATTATTATAGCCGAATATCTGCAGAACTTTTTCTGGGGATCTCCTGATTCTTGTCAGGATTCCCCCCAAAAATGGAGGCTTTAGCACTGTAAAAACCAAGGATTTCATAAGCCTATCATGGGACTATCATAGCAACCATGGATTCTGATGTAAGCCATAAGGGATCACCAACCATATGGGATATCATTAAAGGAGAGTTTTTCGGGAACCGCAGGGTTGATATAATGATTATTATTAATGGAACATACTCCAGAAATATGATGTGTATATGTCAGTTTACTGACAAGATATGATGCTACCATGATGAAATGTGAAATCATCAAACATGCGGGATTCAACCAAGCCATAATGGTGATCTGGTGGGATATATCATGGAATACATATATATATATATATATTATTATATATATATATAAATATATTATGATAACCAACAATATGATGTGATATGGGTGTGTCCAACAAAAATGTGGCATATCCCAAGTTGTTCCTTCAATGATGGTACTGAAAATACGATCAGTGCAGGGGATTCTATACCTCTTACGGTTTATTTCATACCGTCATTATAGCTTCATATAGCACCATATCTGGCTAAGACCCTGGTCTACCCATATCATTTCTGAATCATATCCCAATAATATCCTATTGGATATCTCACATACGGTTAATTTGGATGTTGATATGAGATATCAATTGTATCCCACTATTCCCATTATCTCATCGTATCCCATTAATACATTAATCCTGTCCCCCTGATACTAAATACCTACGGACAATATCCATAGCCAACAGATCCCCATGTTTAATGGCGGGGTAGGTTGAAGATGCCCATCCCATTGAAAAAGAATGTTTTGTTAATGCCCAGTTGTATCCCATAATATACCAACTATTGGTTCATACCACCGTTCTTTTTTATAACAATAATGATACCGTGAGTGAAACAAAATCCAATATTCTGAAGAGTGATGCTCAAGAAATAACACTCATATTAAGACTAATCATTGTATCCTTGTTCTTCATGATCTCATTAAAAAAAAAAAAACATCATTTTAACGCTTCATCCCCAGTTATCTCCGGTCCCATGATGTACCAAGATGCCGTTGGCAGCTGCACTAGCTGCATCACCACTGTGGCATCCTCTGACCGTCGCTGAAAAGAATGTGTTGTTTCATGTACAAGTACAGTAATAGTGTTTAGTATTAAACAACACTTGTATAACTTATATAGTATTATGTATCACAACTTATATAGTATTATGTATCACAACTTATATATATATATAGTATTATGTATCACAATTTATATAGATATAGTCTTTTTGGGCACGTAATAAACTACAATAGTGTTAATACATTATATATATATATGTGTGGTGGGGGATGAGTATATACAAGTGATATGTCCATTTGATCATCCCCAAAACGATAGAAAAGTAAATCCCTACCACAGTAATTTGGTGATCATATCATACACTAATGGTGTTTAGTAACCCATAATTTGGTGGTACATCCCAAATACTAATTTGGTGATGGGTTGCATTTAAGTATTACATACAATAATGGTGTTTAGTATTGCCATTCTGGCCAGTAACACGATTACTAAACTTATATAATAGTATATAAGTGCAAGATTATAACAACCCCCAAGTCAGAAATAGAAAAGTGGTAAACCTGGAAATATGGAGTATGAGTAAATATAATCTATAACTTCCTGGAATCACCTTTTTATCTTTCCCGGGGGTGTCACACGAGCATTACAATACTATTGTGATCATGACAGAATTGCAAAAAATATTCTGATTTGATCAACGGATTGATCGAAATGTGTTTTTTACAGAAAGCTGAGGTTTTTCACACCTAAATATAGGGGTAAAATCGGTTTTTACTTCTCAACTCAGCCATTTCTGGGAATCAATCGCCATTACTACCATAACATATACCCTCTGGTTATTTAACATAGCCATTGAAAATCACCATTTCTAATAGGTAAACCATCTATTTCGATTAGGGCCATCTATATCATGGCTATGTAACAAATAACCAGAGGGTATGTTCTCATGTTCAGGAACACAACCTCTCAACACATGGTGTCAGAACTACGTTTCATTTCTTGATCCAGGCTGCCCAGTATCAATATCAGTGGAAATCAGGGATTCCAGTCACAAACCCAATATCTATTGATTAAATATGTGTTGTTCATGTATACCAATATATGTGTTTAGATATGTGTTTATCATGTAGATTATAACACTGATATGTGTTTAGATATGTGTTGAATAAATATCAGTGTTAATCATTGTATATCATTGTATATCAATGATTGATTTTAGATCAGGGATTCATGATGATAAACCATGATAAACCCACCAACCGTTCCCAATTATTAATGGGTACACCTGATGGGTTATCATCCCATTATTAATGATTCATGATGATAAAACCTATTATTGGTTATCATCCCATCAGGTGTCCCCATGAGGTGCAGTTTCACTGGCTACTCCGAAACTGGGATGATTTCACAAAAGGCCGCCAGGCCTCATTCTCCACCGCCAGATCAATAGCACCATCCACATCAGCGGAGCACTCCTCCCGTGGCATCCCAAATGGCCCAAATTGGGCCCAAATGGCCCATAGGCTGGGGAGATGTTTCATAGTTGCCCTGGAAAATGTGGTGGTTTGTTATGACTAATGTCTGGGGATCTTGGGATTAATGGTGATTTAGTGGCAATAGTGATATGACCAACCCAAATGATCATACTGTGGATGGGCCAGCGAAATCCTAAAAACCAGTTGAAAACGCTGGTGAATCCTATTATTTCTAGGGTTGAAACACCATGGTGGTGCAGGATTGAGCCAAACCATCCACCATAGTTCCCTGGAAAAATTGGGAATCAAAAACATGTCTCATCCTTTTGGTATTGGTTGATAGGGGTGGCATGATGGGTCACCGCAAACCCAACCAAAACGGGGAGCATAAAACCTGCAACAGCTAATCAACAAGGATTTTGGCCGCTGCCCGGATAGGGTTAAATCTGATGTACCCCCCGGGGGGCACTGCCAGGGGCTTCATATCAGTGGAAGTGTTTCTTGAGCTTACATGCAAAATGTCTAGTCAGAGTCTAGACACTTTCTGGTCTATACAAAAGCCTGTGCCCCCTATCTGTTAGAAGACATGCTCATAAAAATCAAGTCTCTCGAAGTATCCAGTGGTTAGGGAGCGATTTGGAGCAATGGCTCTCCGTATTCCCTACTTGGTGGCTCATCCAACGGCTCGTAAGTGGGTTATAATCCCAGTTAGAACCCATGACTGGATTAATCCCAGTATACTGGTTATAAGTGAATTAAGCCTACTTATCCACTTTTTTTGACGGCTCGTAAGTGGCTTATAATCCCAGCTATGGGGTGAACTAACCCGCTTAGTGGGATGAGCGGCGATACCGCATCCTGCACCATAAAACTCCATGTTGGCGAAATCTTCAATCTTTCATCCATGCTGCTTCAAATCCTCATGAAAATTCATGAAATTTCCCCATTTTTCCATGTTTTCACCGTTTTCCCCAGGTTTTCCCCATGTTTTCACCATGTTTTTCTGGCAAAATCCCAATGGTTTTCGGCCCCATCGAACCGCGCTCCCGAAACGTGCCCGTTTCAACCGTCTCCTTGATGAGGCGCGGCGCCAGGGAATCCAGACAGCGGCTACCGGCCGCCACCAACAGTGCATCCTCTGGGTATGGGGAGGAAGTGGGTTATTTAACAACTGGATTTTATTCTATGGTTATTATGTAACAGCAAGTGGGTTATTTAACAACTGGGTTATTTAACAGCAAGTGGGTTATGATACCATGCATATCCTCTGGCTTTTATCTAGAAAAGTAGCCATAGGATGGGATACATATGGTATTTATTACCTGATATGGCATAACCATTACAACTGGAAGTAGATACATATGAACTGTCAATGGATTGGGTTAGTCGGGAAAATCTTCACCGGAAACCCATGGGTTTTAACCATCAAATATAGTGGTTTCCATCATCCAATTCTATGAAACTGGATACCATGCATATCCTCTGGTTTTTATTATCAGATGAATCATATGGTATTTATTATCAGACAGTTTCTTTTTTGTGGATTATGGTTGTTATGTAACTTAACTGGAGAATCTGTATAAATAACAACCCATGAATCCAAAAAAAAGAAAATGGAAATACCATATCGTATCTTTGTTGGTATCCCGGTCATTTTGGAACACACCCAAATCAATTTAGAACACAGTTATAAATAGATTGTAACCCCAGTTTATTGAAGTATCATATATTATCTATAATGTGTTGTATATACTTGGTGGCTCATCCCATTTAGTAAGTGGCTTATATTATGACCACAATTATAAGTGTATTAAGCTTACTTATTCCAATCATAACTGGGTTGAACTAACCCACTTACGAGCCGTGGGATGAACCACCAAATATTATATATGTTTATTAGATTATCTGAAATGTATGGAAATTCATGGAATATTGGGGAAGTGTATAAATTGGGGAATATTGGGTATGTGGAATATTTATATGTCAAAAAAATGAACCTGATTTGGGAGATACTAGGGACATAATACATCTTATATTGCTACTGTACATGTGGAATATTGGAGTATTGGGGAATATTGGGTATCGCAATTGATAAGTGGTTAATAACTATAGTTACTTCAGCCATAGATGGGATAAACCATTTGCTTCAGCCATTTATAGATGGGATAATTGAAACATTTAGATGAGATAACCCATATTTTCTTTATAGATAAAATAACACATTTATAGGCTTATGTCATCTAAATGTTAACTATAGATAGAATGTAGAATACCCCATATTTTCTTCATGGGAATAAATTATTTTAAAAAAAAATTGAATTATTCACCACTGACAATCCCTGGGATATCCTGGGATAATGAAGATCATCCTCCGCTCACATCGCATCAAGCGCTGGCGCCTGCGGCTGCGACGTGCCCGCGCCATGATCCAGCAACAAATGTGCCGCAGCAACGGTGCCGGCGTTGATGGCCGAGTCCTGCATCGTTCCAGGGGTGGATTTTGGGGGGTCACGTCACAGCAGCCTCGATTTGGAGCAGCCAAAATATGCAAAAGCATGGTGATTCAACCAACAAGAACTGAGAGTTCTTTGAAGAAGAAAAACGAATTGGGAGTTAACTGAGTTAACCCATTAATAGTGGATTTTCCCATTAAAACCTCCATTTATGAGGGATTTTCCATGGTTATGTTAAATAACCAGAGGGTATCTGAGTTAACCCTGAAAAAAATGGATTGTTCAGACGTTTTGAAATCTCAAAAATGGGGATTGAACCATCTTCAAAAACGAGATTTCATCCGAAGTTAGGATATTCCATGGGATAGTCCCAGAGTGGGTTCCTGAAATTCGACAAAGAGTTCAAGGGGAGATTACAAATAATCAATGGAATGCTTAGAGGGAAAACTTACAAGAAACCATTGATCCATGGACCATAGAATTCTAGCTCAAAATTCATCACAACGGATAGGGGCTTCGGTAATTCTTCGCTTTAACCACGTGTGGCATATATGACTTGAATCAAAAATGGGGAGATCACCAAATATCACATACACAAGAATGTCCTTTACAATATCAATGGGATATTCCCTTACATAGGCCTGGCCTTATATATGGTAGGTACCTCCAATTTAGGATCCTTTTTGGAGCTTTCACCAAGAGATGGCGAGATTTTTTCAGTCCAGCACGGTCAGCCCGGCGGAACAGCGCAGCTGGGGATCGCCCCGGCAACAGAGCAAGAGCCTGGAATTGCGGTGATTTGTTGTGGATCCCAAATATTTAGCTGTTTGTTGGGATCCTAGTCATATCTCAAATATGATCAAAAATAATGATGTATGCGGCAAAAAACAGCTATAAGATCCTATAAGATCTTATTTCTACGTATTGGGAAATCTGAGAAAATCGGGCATCACCTTCTAGGACCTTGCGAAAACCTGTGATGGAAATAGAACTGTGAAGTCATGAAAATAGAACGACCATGGGCGGTCAAACTCACATATACATGGAAAAAACCCTTTTGGTTACCCACTAGAAAATAAGGGATATTGAAGTTCGGTTCGCATGAAAAAAGAAACACACATTTCTGACCAAATCCCCATTAAACCCCCATGAACCCCTCACCAAATCCTCATGAAATTTCCATGAAATCACATTAAAACCCCATTCAATCCACTATTCATCCCATTCAATCACCCTTAAATCCCATTAAATCACAATGAAATTCCATTTACCAAGGGTGGTTTTTGTTTGAACCAAGTGGCTTCATGGTCGACAGGAAGTTTCGCACCGCCGCCATGTGCAAGGCTCCATCTTCGGGCCTGAGAAAGAAAAAACATGCAGATTTACTGTCATTTTTCAATGATTCCCCGAGAAAACCATAGGAAAATGGTGATTTAATGGGATTTAACGGTGATTTAATGGGATGAATAGTGGGATTTTCTTAGTGGGATTTAATGGGACTGCAATGGATTTAATGGTGAGTTTTCATGGGATTTCATAGGATTTCAATGGAAATACTTTGGAATAAAAGCGACTTGGAGGCGGGGTACCCAGAGCTTACTTTCGTGGGTTATCCCAGGTTCTGAACCCCCCGCAGTTGGGAACGGCACTTCCATGGGGAAGCCCAAAAAATAAAGGGATAGAGTGTGTATATAAATCCCTATTTTTATGGTTATACATAACTTATTTATTGGCTATGTATAGCAACCCCAAGTCATGGATAGAAAAGTTGGGAACCTGGAAATATTTGAGGTGAAGATCATCTATACCCTCAGGTGTTACCCTCTGGTAAACATACAAAAAGCTATTGAAAATCACCATTTATAGTGGATTTTCCCATTGAAAATGGTGATTTTCCATAGTTTTTTGTACGTTTACCAAAGGGTAATCATTGTTAATCCCATGCCCCCAAATATGAAACACCACCCATAAATTATGGTGGATGTCAGAGATGAAACCATGTTTGGGACCACACAATGGGGGGGGTTAAAATTCGGTGGATGGGATTACATTGCATGACTTATTTATTGGCTATTTATTGGCTATTTATTTATTTATATATATACATATACATATACCAGCCATATGTGGATTATAACTATGGTCCAATTGACCATGGCTATACCTCAGTGATACATGGGTGTAAATTGTAAATGTTGAGTCGCTGGGGAATTGACTGGCTACAGTATGTGGAGATTGTGGATGATGATGATTCAAGTTATTAGGTGACACTAAAAATTGATTTTAAGCGCTAAACACCCATTTTTATAAGGGACACTAGGCCTTCAAATTTGTTAGGATATACCCGAGAAAAAAATATGTTCTTCGAGTGATCCCACCCCGACACACTATTTTGACATAGTTTCTAACATACCATCTGACATACCATCTGACATTCTTTCTGGCATATACTTTGACATTATTCTATCTGACATTCTTTCTGGCATATACCCTGACATTCTACCCGGCATACTTTCTGGCATATATTCTGACATTCTTTTTGGCATTCTATCTAGAATTGTATCTGGCATCTATCTTGACATTCTTTCTGGCATCTATTCTGGCACTCTATCTGGCATCTTTTCTGACATTCTTTCCGGCATTCTATCTGGCAAATATTCAGAGGTGGGGAAAAATGGATTGAGATTTTGCCGTCAAAAACAGTAGGAATATGAAACTGAACATACAGGATGGGCCCCCCAGTTATAAGTTGGCTTATAAACCACATTTACATCCATTACCTATAGTTATATCTACCATAAACTATAGTTAAACCACTTACAAGGCAACTGAACACTATCTTAGCAAAAAATCTGCGGATCAGCCTTGACCCACCACGAATGCCCTGCTCTCGCCTCGAGTCACCGCTAGAGGCCAGCATAGCAAAGCCTCATGGCCGTTGGATGCATCACCGGTGTAAAAATCTCCCTATGTTTGCTGCTTCAAAATCCCACGATTAGTGCCAGTCATTTCCCCAACAAAATCCCACGAAAAAAATCCCAGTATTAATCCTAATGAATCACCATGAAATTCCATCAAATCAAGATGAAATCTCATGAAATTCTATATGAATCACCTTTAGATCCCTTTGGTGTCTCCTTGGTGTCTCCTTGGTGTCGCCATGTTTGTCATGTTTCGCCCCGCAACAGGCGTCAACGTCTTCCTCCTGGCAGCGATTCAGCGCCGTCACCATGCGTGCGCCTGACGCCAAGGAGCTGGGCGCTTTCAGAATGGGCTTCCCCAATGGTTCATTTCATGGGGAATATATATATATATCATATACATCATATAAAGTACCATGAAAGAAACCATATATATGCGATCAAATGGTATCATATATGATATATTTCATATGGTATCATGTGTATATATATATACATATATATATATATATATATATGGTGCCCCCCCCAAAAAAAACTACCATGGTTTTCTGTTTTTACTGCTATTTACAGTGCTTTTACATAACATTTATTATATATTATACACAATGGGCCTGATATGGGATATATGTCATCAACAATATGATCTAATGGGTATGTTTCATGGGATATAATGGGGAACCAATGCTTTACCCATGAATATATTTCATGGTAAATCCCATTGAATGGTTCTTTAAAGGGATTCCCCAGTGATTTTCATGATTCATGATTTCATATATCCCATGAAAATCCTTAAAAAAAAAACAAACATGAAAAGCGAGTAAATCACCCTGTAAATCTCCGACGTAATGAGCATTGTTCAACAATCTCAACAACATCATAGAATAGTATAGAACATATGTGAATATATGTTCATATATTCATGTTGGGGAACCAATGGCTTTAACATATGTGGTTCTTCACTGTTATTGAGGTGTAGTCCTGGCCCTTTTTGGGCTTAAGAGATCCAAAATCTACAGGAAACCATGGAGAAAAAACAGACTTTACCACCATGTTCATGGGAGTTCCTTAAGGGATTTCCTTAAAGAATTGAACTAAAAGAAGAAAACTCTGTGGAAGTTTATTGATCTGGGCAAATTACAATATTTCACAGCCATGAATTTTTAAAGGCTATTATGTGTGTGTATGTATATATATATGGTTGGTGGTATACCTACCCTCTGAAAAATGATGGACTTCGTCAGTGATGATGAAATTCCCAACTGAATGGAAAAGTCATAAAATTCCATCGTTCCAAACCACCAATCAGATATATATGGATTGTAATCAGCCAATACCCTCTGGTAAAGGTTTACATAACTATGGAAAATCACCATGTTCAATGGGAAAAATCACTTTAAAAAAATGGTGATTTTCCATATATATTGGGATAATTCCCCGATGATTCCAGGCTTCGGTCACAGTGAGGAACTCGCTGCGCAGATCGATTGGTAAAATCCGTCCTGGCAGCCAGGGACTCTTGAAATCTCCAGCGCTGAAACGAGCCTTGGGATACCAGAAATTCGGCAACTGGTGCATCGATAAATGGTGATTTCAATGGTGCTTTCATGGTGATTTAATGGGATTTCATAGGATTTCATGGTGATTTGTAATGATTTAATAGTGGTTTATAGTGATTTGTTGGTAATTTCATGGTAATTTATATACTGAAATGGTATATATATGTATATATATCATGATAAATTGTAATTTACAGATATTTATATACCAATATTTCATGGTGATTTGTATACTGAAATGGTAATTTTCAGATATAGACCAATATATAATGATAAATGGTGATGTATATGCTAATTATCTTGAATGACCTGTATAAATGACCATGACTATTTTTTTTATAAATGACCATTATAATGGTAGTGATTCATCACCATGATAGTTCATACAGAATGTATAGTATAGTTATACTGATAGTTCGTAATTTATCACCATACTTAAAATGATGTGGTTTTCTATTGTTACAATGGTAAATTTCTAATGTTATATGGTTCTATAGTAAATACAGTTGAATCATCCAATTATCTCTAAATTCACCATGGTGATTTCTTGCATGGTGATTTTCAGGGTATTTCTTTTTACAGCGCGAGGCAACTCAATGGTGAAAAAAATGGCGGGATTTGATGTTGATTTCAATGGGCGTTCATGGAGATTTCAATGGTGATTTAATGGAAGTTAATGGGATTTTATAGGATTTCATGGTGAATTGCAATGATTTAATGTTGGTTTATAGTGATTTAATAGTGATTTAATAATGATTTAATGGTGATTTAATGGTGATTTATGATGCTGTAAACTTTAATGTTGATTTAATGGGAGTTGATGGAATTTGAAGGTGATTTGATAAGATTTCATGGGATTTAAGAGGATTTTTGTTGGAGGGGAAATGACAGGGATTTAACAGGGATATGGATGGAATATCAATGAGGATATGATTGAGTTATTAATGGGATTTGATGGGATTTTAGAGGGAGAAAATAATACTTGAGGTAATTGGGATATAACCAACAATATGTTTTTCGGTGTTCACACCAACAGGCGTGACATTTTTTGCGGCGTCACATTTTCAATGTGCGTCTGACAAATGGAGTCTCTGTCGAAAATATCCCCAAATGCCCCAAGTGGAATGATATTTTCCATCAAATGTGACTGTAGAAAATATCCCCAAATGCCCCAAATGTGACTATCTGTAGAGAATATCCCCATGAAATTTTGGTACCCAAATGTCACTCACCATCTGGGATTCCCGACAGCTGAAATACTGCGCACCAACTCGGATCGAGGGGCTCCAGGGGCCCCGAATACGCAGGAATAGGTCGAAAAAAGTAGACCCAATATTTCACCCAATGCCATGAACCATGCCCCAATAGGTGAGCTTTATGAAGTTGGGATGTCTATAAAATGACCATGACATGGGTTGGTTGGGATGGTTTATGGCACTGGGTGTCCTACAGTTTGATGATTCTTTCCATTTTCTCCAGATGGTGGGGGAAAAAACTTCACAGCGGCACCCGGCAGATGGCTAGTTTGGTTTCGAAGTACCGTTGGATTTCTGGGGGATATATGGGGGTTTCCTAAGTCATGGGGGTACCCCAATAGCTGGACCGTTTCTAAGGGAAAATCGGAAAATCCTAGTAAAATTGATGGTTTGGGGGTACCCCCATGACTTAGGAAACCCCCATATTTAATGTGAGTTTGATGGGGTTATAAAGCAACAAACACAACTGCGAAAAACCGGTTTGGCATCCCTTTTGCTGCCATCTGTCTCGGATTTGTTCGGCGTGATTCCATCTGTTGAAAGTTGAAAACAGTGTTGCCTTTACCAGATTCTATACTAACCCTTCAAAAAGATAGATAATTAGATAGATATATGTTTAAAAAATAATAATTAACCATAATTAACCATAATTAACCATAACTAACCATAATTAACCACTAGTTTTGGACCGATTTTACTTGTTCTATCTTATTGGTGGCTGGCGCGTTACGGCCGGCCTTCTGTGGTAGCAAGCGGCACAGGCCTGGCCGATTTCGCCGTTTGGATCCGGTTTTGGATGAGGTTGTCGCTGCTGTTTACCATGGAAATTCATGGGATTTACTGGGGATTTACTGGGGATTTACTGGGCTAATCATCATTGAAACACAAGTGGGTTTAGTAATGCAATCACCCACCAAATGTTTGAATTCCATGATTATGACCACCAGATGATGATGATGATGATGATGATGACATATGATAATCACAAGAATAATACCATCCGGTAATTCGTTACATGGCTATGATATAGATGGCCATTTAGTTCGGTGATTTAGGGATTTAAAGTGATGATTGTCCATAGCCGCGTTAAATTACCATAGATGCATCTCTCGTTGGTGGGTTTATCATGTTTATAACTATAGTTGTATAGATTGCTATAATTGACGATTTATGATAAATGTGACTATAGAAATTTAACGGAACATCAATCAACTTCTAACTTTGGGGCGCCTGAAAATCCCCAATTTGGCCATTGAATTTGGCCACTGAAGTCACTTGGATCTGCCAATGTCCAGAACATGCCGTCATTTTGGGCTCAATGATTTACCCCACCTGGTTATGACTAGCAGTTGGCTATGTGAAATAGATGATGTTTATATGGTGAAATAGATGATAAATATTTGTGCTGATTGAGCTATTGGAAATGGTGATGTTCAAAAGCTATGTTAAATAGCTTTTGAGGGTAAGTCTTCAAATTTACGAGTTGACGGTTTTTTCCTGCCAATAGGTCATATTTCCAGAAGGGAGGTAAAAAAAAAAACAAAAAAACATGAAATTTCCATGAAGTTCCTCAAATCCTTCCTTTGGTCAAGTCATATTTTAACTTCTTGTTACCAGCGCTGAATCGCTGGCAACTGACTTCCCAGATCGCCCAGCTACTCCCAGGTACTCCCAGGTACTCCCAAGTCTCAGCGCGTGTGCACCTACTTCTAGCACTATCCCTCTAGTTTCACCAATTATTTGGTGTATACATGACATACCCTCTGGTAAACTAACACGGCGATTGAAAATGGCCCATTTATAGTTAATTTACCTACTAAAACTATCTAAAAGTGGTGCTTTTCCATTGTGAGAGTTAGTTTACCAGAGGGTAATATGATAAACATTCACCAGCCGTGCAAACCATCCCTGAATTGTTGGGTGTTCGGACCCAATGTCCAATAGGCTCCCATTGTTGAACTAAGGGAATTACTATGATTCCCACGGTGCAAGAGCAATATTGACTATGACAATGGGAATATATTACTCTATAATAATAGTTGATAATGGGAATATATAATATTATATGACTTTGATAATCCTTATGCGTATCCATCAACTATATCAACTATATCCGATAAGATGTTCCCATAAAATGCTTTGGAATACCACCAAGTTGTTGGTGGTTCATACCACCACACTTGTTCCTTGTTGTGTCTTGGGGTATCATGGCATTAAAAAACCATGGTAGATCATCAGTCTCCAAAATTTCCCGAAAAAATGTAGCTCAAATCAACTTAATTGGTTTACTATGGTTTAATATGGTTTAATGATGGGATGATTTGCTGGGATAATGATGGGATAATACTGGGATATTGATGGATATACCATCTGGTTATGACTAACAGTTCGCCATGGAAAATCACCATGCTGTTAAAAACGGTAAACCATCCAACTCAATGGGCCATGGCTTCCATGGCTATGTAACAAATAACCAGAGGGTAAATCACATCAAATCCATGGTTTTTCATATGTATATATATATATATATGTGTATATATATATATTGGCATGGCGTAACTTGGGATATCCACCCAAAAAATGACCGCCTCTGGCGCTGCGTTGCAACCGCAGCTGGGCGGTGACTTCCAGTGGCCGCAGCAGCGGCATCGGAAGACGCTCGAAGGTTTGGAGCAAATCCAACTCGGGCGACCTCGAAATACCAGGCATTTTAAAACGGAAACATGGTTAATATTATATAATGTTATATGGTTGATATTAATGGTTATATAATTGGTCATAAATATGAATGTTAATATTAATGTTAATACTAATGTTAATATTAATGGTTGATATATATATATATAGTTATATATATAGTTATATATATAGTTATATATATATAGTTATATGGTCATAAAATGCTTGATATGCAAGTGGTTTTGAATGCTTAAAAAAATGGTTGTATGTTTCGTTCATGGTTCCAAATGGGCTCATCTGATCAGTCTCGTCACCTCTAATTAAACTCTCATGCGGATATAGAAAATAAATGAAAATAAATGAATCCGTGGTATAAGTTAAGTAGAGAGGAATATGGTTATATAATAGTAATCCCCAAATAGATAGAAAAGGTTTATGTAGTGTATCACTGTTTTGCTGGGATTTCAGTCTTTTAAGTATCTTGGATGCATTCGAAATGGCGAATGTGAGGCGTTTCTGGAGTAAGAAAACGCTCGAAATGCTTCGAACTACTTGGATGATTCCCTAAATGGTTACCCGGCCTGGTAAACGTTTACAGTTTGCGAACTGGAAGCCATGGCCCTAATCGAAATAGATGGTTTACCTATTAAAAATGCATGGTGATTTTCTATAGCTATGTGACGGTTTACCAGAGGGTAGTGTTTGTTGGGGGTTTGTTTACCCTCGTTATTTTTATGATGGTTTCACCATGGTGTCACCCACAGAGAACTTATGATCACAGAGAACCGTGTTTCACCAACCACTTGCTGAATGGGATGATCCTCAAAAAAACCATCAGGAGTGATAGCTGAGTGAAGCATCATATTTATAAAGATAAAATAATATTTATGATAATAGATAGTTATATTTATGATCTGTAACTATGGACTTATGAAGATGTCTGATAGTTTATAGCTAAATTGCTTAAGAATAATCATTGCTTATATCTAGGCATGGCGATGTGGCTATGCCATCGTTGTGGCTATGCCATCTTCAAGCGACAACTGCAACCGATGGGAAAGTTCTGATCCACCAATCATTGGAGTTATCGAAATCGCCAAAAAAGTGGAAGTTAATGGAAGTTCACATGGGAATTTAATGGGATATTGATTGGGATTTATAACATGTTCTAACCAGCAATATATATATATATACATGTGTATATATATATATCTGTGTATATTAATATATATATATACATGGAATTTGCATATTTTTTGGGGGAAAAGAAACGACAAGTCACCAAAGATGCCATTATTGGGGCTCCCAGCCCATGGTTCATCACTGCCCATGGCACGAAGGCCCAGGCTTGTCAAAGGATGAAAAAAGTTATGCCCCAGTCGGTGATTTCGTTTCGCTTTTGACCCATCCCTATGTCCTCCATATCGGAAGTATACCCTCTGGTAAACCTACAAAAAGCTATTGAAAATGGCCATAGAAATAATGGATTTACCCATTAAAAATGGTGATTTTCCATAGTTATGTTAGTTTACCAGAGGGTATCCCCATGTTTCATGGGCTTAGAAGGCTTGGTTTATCCGAATGTTTATCAGTGTTGGTTGCAGAGACCCTGGTTTAACCTGAATGATGTTCTTTGCTGATTGGATTTCTGTGGTGAAAACATGGTCCAAAGTCGAAGTGTTCTTTAGTTCCGCCTTGAACTTTAGGGCCCAGTTTTCTAGTCCACCATTTGTCCCAACTGGCCCAACTAAAGCTCCTGAAGACAGGTACTACTCGGATCGATGAAATACAGGTATTAAACCAGGGGTTCTGGGTGGCTATTTAGTGGTATAGAGGGATGGTATTGTATAATAATGATTATATACTACTTGAAGGTCCTTTACAAAAAAAGACAGAAAAGCGGCGATTACCTACGGTCACTGTGACTGTCCAGCGAGTTTCTCCGAGCCAAGAATTGGAGCGTTCAGCGAAATCACAAGTGGTTTTTTTTAAAGCCGCCGGGGCTGAAAATTGTTCAGACTCAATTTTTACCAGCCGATTTGGAGGATTCATAAATGATAACCCATCATTAGCCATCATTAACTAACCGTCATAAACTTGCTGATCTCATTTGATCTTTGCCATCAAAAAAAATCTATGGACCCGATCCCAAAGCTGATTTAAGGACTGCGCCATAAATAAATAGCTGATGATGTCTCCCCGGTGAAAAAACAGCATGTTTTCGTGAGGTAAATTGATCATTTGCAGTTCTTGAAACATGATGTCTGTTTTTAGGTTGATGATGTCCCAGATGTCTGATCATTTGAGGCTCTTTGAAACTGTAAATGGATCAGACATCTTCCGAAAAAAAAAAAGCTGCCTGTGTCATCAATCTCCAACGTTGATGCCTCAAAAAACCTGCGACACATGACAAGCGATTCGGTGTATGTTTGAATTCTGCGGTCTGAATATATCATCCCCTCTGGGAATCAAACACTTTTGCTATGGAAAATCACCATGTTTTAGTTCGGTAAATCATCAAACTAAATCGGCCATGGTTTTCAGTTAACCAAAAATCACCGGCCATCGGCTAGTCCTTGGGGATCCTCGGAGCCACCGCCCGCCGCCATTGTCGCAACTCCTCGTGGCCGTGGCCATTGTAACAACAGCCCTGTCCGGACGCGTGAGTTCAGCATTCTGCACTCTTGTCAGCAGGCTAGATGGCTGGGAGCCAAGCCGTAAGCCCCTTCCACTCATAGCGCGGACTGGTGACCATCTGTGGAAAAAAAAAAGGTAAACGAATTGACGGCTTTGAGGGATTCAAAAAGATCTGGTTCGGATGATGTGAACAAATGACAGAACAACCATGTTCTCAGTCACAGCATAGAAATCCTGAATCTGGGCAGCAAAGCCTTCGATTTGAAAAGGAAATGATAAACCAAAACTGACGAAAACCACCCATCTCAAGATTCCCAGCCAGAAGGATGGTTCAAAACTCTGGAAACCACCAGTTCTTGCTTCAATATGTTTTATCTATGTTTGTCTCTCATCTTTGCTGGCTACACTATGTTTATCTATGTTTATCTATGTTTATCTATGTTTATCTGTGTTTGTCTACGTTTATCTATGTTTATCTATGTTTATCTATATTAAACATCTGGTTGGTGGTGCAACAATCATCTTGAAAAATGATGGAGTTCGTCAATGCGAAGGATGACATCCCATATATGAAATGGAAAATAAAAATGTTTGAAACCACCAACCATTTATCTATGTTTATCTCTCATCTTTGCTGGTTACACTATGTTTATCTATTTTTCTCTATGTTTATCTATGTTTATGGATGTTTATCTATGTTCATCTATGTTTATCTATGTTTATCTATGTTTATAAAATGTTATAAAGTCCCTACTGGAAGATTTTTCTTTTTTTTCGTACCAAGTTCGATGTAACATCCTTGCCATATCCACGGGCACCAGGGGACTCACAGAATTCTTACGCAACGACCAAAAATCATCATGCCGCCGCCGTAAATTTCCGACCATGCTGCTGGTGATCCTGCTGCTTACGCCCAAGAAAAAGACAGCAATATATGGTAAAACTCCAATAGTTGAACCCGCTGAGCCTGTGAAAAACCTTAAGTTGACCTTTTTACTTGGAGTTTGAGTAAAGCTGAAAGACTGTCGTTGTTGATTGGCCGAGTTAATTACAACCATTTAAATTTAAAACCATTTAAACCTTGGAAAATGATGACATTTGTGACTGTCATCCTTTCCAACCTATAAAACAACCATAAACAGCTGTGATCACCGAAGCATGCGATCCAACTGGCCAGCACCTGGTCGTGTCTTGAAAGTTTAAAGTTTTGTGTCAATACACCCGGGTTTCCATAGACCCATGAGGGGCAGTCAGGCACGATGCCACGATGCGAACATTGCCAATCCAGAAGATCCTGCGACACAACGATGGAACCCCGAGGCCGGTTCCATATCTCAGCCATACATCGGCAATGGAGGTAGGACTGCGCGGTGCACGCCTTTCCTCGACCAACGTTGAGATATCCCGAGATCCCACTCGGATTGGCCTTGTGCCGACCCTTTTATTGTAGCGATGGCATCAACATTTCAAAAAAAATATCCATATCGTTTCTGTCATACGGTTTTATGATTCAAATGACTGGAGTTTCCCTGCATGTAGGTCTAAAATGTTTGTTCAAAAGTCGTATCATGCATGTTGAACCATGAACCCGAAGCCATCGTCAGATTCGCTCCTTGATTCGGAGCACGACCCAACCGTTGGAGGGCCGCAGGCGCAACCCTGGTGGCCAACAAGCAATTAGTTTACCATCGGGGAAAAAAGGAAAAGTAACCATAACCGAAGGATGTTTAGAAGTCAAACTTCCGACCATATGGACAGAAGCAGCAGAGGTGGGAAGAGTCAGAGAAGAGAAAGGAAGAAGAAAGAAGATCAGAGAAGAGAAGAAGCCACTAGAAGTAGAAAGAAGATAAAGGCGCGCAAAAAGGTAGAAAAGTACGTATGGAAACACTGTGTTTTTCCAATGTTTTGTGCTCTGGAGGGTCGAAAAGTGGACTCACTAAAGCGGCGGGTGCAGAGCCATCTGGACAGATGAGAAATCAAAAATTGCCGTTCCTGTGGCGCGAAGCGCGTTTTGAAAACAACACGCTCAAAACATCTCATTCTCGGAGCACTTTTGGAAGTTGAGATTTGAGATGTAGGAAAAGTGAACACACCATGTTCGGAGCACTTTTGGCACTTGAGATGTTCAGAAAGTGCACGCCGCTGTGGCGCGAAGCACGTTTCGAAGTCAAAGGTAAAAATCCCACATGTTCGGACCACTTTTGGACGTTGAATCGTCATTTTGCGTGGCATGAGCAAGGGATTCTGCACCTTGCCCAAAATAAGGAAAACGTTGTGTTTTGTGGCAGTTTCAAAGACAATGGCAGTGGGACGTTTGAAGAGGATCTGCAAGGATGTATTTCACTTGGCAGGCGTAGTACAAAAGACATCTCCATTAGACATGTTCAGAGGACAGGGCGCTGATTTCCTGACACGTTGCATTTTGGAGCATCAGATCGTCAGGTTTGCTAAGATAATTTTGCGTGACAGGACCTGGCCTCACTGTTTCGTCGCAGGCGCAATACTTTAGAGACATGGGATGGACAAATCGCAAAACGCATTGGTACGAGGCCGTCAGTTCTGCACTCAACTTTCCGTTTTTGCTGGAGTCTCGCTGAATTGCTTGGTTTTTGACGCTGTCAATGTCAAAAGTGAGGAAGTCTCGCAGAATTTCATCGTTTTGGAGCTGCAAACTTGACTTGTGAGGAAGTCTCGCAGAATTGCTTCGTTTTGGACCTGTCGATTTCCACTCTTGAAGGAAGCCCCAGAAAGATAGATAGGTAGATAGATAGAGAGATGGACAAATAGAAAAGACCCAGATAGAGAGATAGACAAATAGAAAAGACACGGACAGAAAGACAGACAGACAGACAGAAAGACAGACAGAGAGACAGAGAGATAGATAGATAGATAGATAGATAGATAGATACATCGATAGATACATAGATCGATACATAGATGGATAGATAGATAGATAGATAGATAGACAGATGGATGGATAGATAGATAGATAGATCGATAGATTAGATAGGATAGGATAGGATAGGATAGGGTAGGGTAGGGTAGGATAGGATAGGATAGGATAGGATAGGTAGATAGATTGATAGCTAGGTAGGTAGGTAGCTAGGTAGCTAGGTAGATAGATAGATGGATGGATGGATAGATAGATAGATAGATGATTGATTGATTGGTTGATTGATTGATTGATTGGTTGATTGATTGGTTGAATTGGTTGATTGGTTGGTTGATTGATTGGTTGATTGATTGATTGATTGATAGGTAGATAGATAGATGGATGGATGGATGGATAGATAGATAGAATAGAAAGTAGAAAGAAAGAAAGAAAGATAGATAGATAGATAGATAGACAGACAAACAGGCAGACAGACAGACAGGTGGATGGATGGATGGATGGATGGATTGATGGATGGATAGATAGATAGATAGACAGATAAATAGATCAAACAGATAAGATAGAAAAGATTGATAAGATAGATCAGATAGATCAGGTAGATAAGATAGATGAGATAGATCAGATTGATAAGATTGATAAGATTGATAAGATAGATAAGATAGATAGATAAGATAGATAAGATTGATGAGATAGATGAGATAAGGTAAGATAGATAAGATAGATCAGATTAGATAAGATAAGATAAGATCAGACCAGACCAGGTCAGATAGACAGATAGATAGTCAGACAGTGAGACAAACAGACAGATAGTTAGATAG